CCCTCCCCCCGTCGGTGCGAGCATTACGTAACGTTATCCTGATGCACTATTACGCACCCCCGCAAACCTACACTAGGGACTGACACATAGAAGAAGTATTAATACGTCCGTGCTGTATCAATAGCAACGTGCATGTACGGGTGCAGTGTTGAGTGCATGCCACCGACCATCGACTGATGTGTGCTCGGGGGTTAAACGAAACAAATAAAGATAGCATTGTGCAGTGTTTTCGTGTTTGCCTCCAAATAAGAGGCAACACTCTGCTTCAAACACCGGTATCACAACCCTAAGTTCACAATTAAAAAAATCTTTGTTTGCCCTCACCCGACCCGGGCTGAAAAGTTTGGGTAGGTAGGTAGACTTAATTTTTTTTTTAGGTTTTTTTTTTTTACAAATTCAGCATGGTGTCTACATGCTCGGGTGTGCTTATGTGCAGATACCTTTTATGTTGAATGCTTGTTTTGCTTGGTACATATAATGTATTGCCTACAGATTTATATAATGTACACTGATACAATTTGTAAAAAAAAGAAATCAATAAAAAAATTTGAGTAGGCCCCATTTTGGCGGGTCGGTCGGGTGGGGGCAAACAAACAATATTTTTATTCTGGCCTAAGTTCACAATGTTTAGAGGGTCGAGCAGACACATATATATAAGACTTCTTTCTTTCGGCGTTTCAATTGCTTTCCTGGTGAGAAGACAGGTAAAGACTGGTAACCACACGAAGCAGATATAATATTCCCTTCAATTTACAACGTTTTCTTAAACGCCATTACACAGAAACAACACGCATATATATATATATATATATATATATATATATATATATTAGCTGTTGACACTACGGGGAGACGGTCAACGAAGGAACACCTCACCTCACTAACTCGTAAAACCTTGCAACGAAATAGTATTCAGACGTTGTTCTGCGAGTTGAAAGAACACACGTATAACATAATACAAATTATACAATGATAGTTGATAGTTGATAGTGATATGCCTTAAAACCCCCACACATGGTGCGCATTCGGCGCTGAGCTAAACGCATGCGCCATTTGCGCACATAAACCCGCAGACAGTGCGCATTCGGCGCGCGCCGAAAAGGCATACATTAGATCAAGAGCTAATAAACACACTAAAAAAGGTATTTATTAGCGCTTAATTAGATTACAGATATATATACACGATAGATATTTTGCATAGTCAGGCTACCACCGTATACGGCGAACATTTCAGCACAGCACATACACCAGTTGCTAACAGCAGTTGCTAACCCACCTAGGACAGACGAACGGACGGTCCTGCACCATCTCCACCTCGTCCGACTGGTGTCAGATACATAAAAAATCCACAGGGGGTACCAACCAACCCCGCTCCAACTGTGCATTACCCCCCCCCCTCCACAATTCCTGGATCCGCCGACGAAACCCACCCGAGCAGATCAAGTAGAAAACGACCGGGTAGGGTCCTTTCGCTAATACTAGTCCGAATGAATTAGTCTAGCTGCTTGCCACTACCCACCAGTAATGACGTGCGTGTAACCGCGGTCTCGTACCTGCACAAGCGAGCGATAGTTTACCATCAGATACTGAGACCACACTAACAAAATCTGACAAGCCAACTAACACTTCGGATATTAATCTTGCGCGACAAACTGACACGGCATGACGCTATGACGGCATTGCCGAAAAAATGGTCTTGCGTGTTTCCGTTGCGCGAAAAATAACCAATTTCACTGGAGAAAATCCTGCGACCAGACACAAACATTGTGAAACCTTTGGCAACACGATGATTAACCTTGTTACCAAGTTATACCGGCGGCAGTGTGACTGACACATTCAAACCATGTTACTGTTAGTCCAAAGCTAAAATTTCACCACGGCAACTACGACATGTGCTGTAATTATTCCCCTTAAAATGGTTGCCCTTCTCCAGTAGTGCCCTCTATAAATTTGGCTGAGCTATACAAGTCAATAATGGCTGCTATAATGCCTTCCTACAGGGTGCGAAATTAACGCGAGTCCGGAGTCAAATACTCCCTGATTTGACATATATATATATATATGCAGGAGTCGCAGTCTGTGTTACTCCCTGAAAATTCTGCTATATATATATATACTAACTACAGTGACACAGTAGTTCGTTCTATGGCACGGCATCGCTGAATTACCATATTTTTTTTTAGCAAATGTCCCAAGAAAATTTGGCAGACGTGCACTGCAAATGTCCTTTTTGTTAATATCTTTAGTTTTGAACTTCAGAATGTGGACTCCCTCTTTTTGAAGGTAGGGAGTCCGTTGGATTCGCTTGTTCAAGTTAATTTCTACCCCTGATACCACGTGTTCCTCTATAGGCATAGATGCCCTTTCCGGACACTTCACGTTGTGTATGAAACTATGAATCCCTCTTTCTACCACCGAATTTTTTTTTTAACAAGTGGCCTTGGCAACTCTTCTTTCTAGTAAATGATTGTAGTGGTACCATAAAGTATCTAATTTTAAAAAAGACACTACTATTGAAGCCATATGATACAACATTAAAATCAGACCCTTTCTAGAGTACATATTGCCATGTTACTGTAGCTATTGAAGTAAGCGTAATTGAAATATTAAGTAGATCAGTACTTATCCAGCAGTATAAATAATGTGTGTATGACATCATCAACAGATAAAATCTTGGTAGTAAATGTTACAGGTCTGGGTTTTCCACCAGTCAGTCTAGACAGAAATCTGATCAATAAATGTTAGACAACTTTAAATGCTGCCTGCAAAACTAGGGGGTGAATTCCATTTACTGCAAAACCTAACACATGTCTATTGATCTTGTTCACTTCAATTTTTCAGTATTTGCATGGGAGCATATAGACAAATAGTATAGCATAGCGTATAACAAACACAGTATTATCGCATACATATTCAATTAATTGCATATATAGACATTCAAAAAATGAGCTTTCAAGAAACTAAGAAAAGGTAACGATATCTATTATTATTAATTCTTTGGTAAACTATAAAAATCACAATTACCAATAAAAATAAGAATATATAATCGCAAGCCAAATTCATTAGTTATTATAGTTGGATTTGAATACAAGGGTGAATCGAATTCATAGTCATACCAACCGATGAAATCTCAGATGGAAAGGGCAAAAATGCAAAGTAAATCTACATTATTGGTATTTAGACCACAGTACCGTCCGTATGCAACATACGTTTGCCTTCATTATGGTAAAATAATTAAGGGGGAGTTTTAATAAACTTCTTATCATATAATCGGATCACCTTAGAAACCTCGTGGTTTGCCTAGATACACCCTTTTCAAAATTTTTACATTATGCCCAGGTCTGTTGGGTCGGGGTAAACAGTATTCATTTGCTTAGATTAATATTCTGACAGGACTGTCTATTTTCACAAGCTGTAGACGGGCAAACGACTGAGTGTTATTTAACAAGGATGGCATGGATGGAACAGTTAAAGAAGAGTTACCGACATCGAAACGATACGTTCGACACGTGTTAACTAGACGTTCCGTTCCCCGTGCATTTTGTTTATAGTGTGCGAGAAGAAACATGGGGCGACGGTGCGAGGCAGCACTTCGTCATCTGATACCACGTATGAATTCACAATCTCTGCTTACTGTCAGCGATGGCAGCCGAGAAACCGTACACGTCGTCGTGCATACGTACGATGCTGCCAGCCATTTTACGCGCGTTTCCGTGACACGTACACGCACGCGAGCAATTAGCGCACGTAACCCAACGTAGCTTCTTCGCAGGGATCCTTGATGATGAGTCGAGTGCGTAACGTCTATCGGAACAAATTCTCGGGTTTTTTCCCTCGTAAGAATCGCGCGCTAAAAACTACCAAGTGCTACTTCTTGCAACTTACGAGATAAGAATTGCCTTTACTTAGTGATACGGTTAGGATCAAGTCAATTCTAGGGGTTCGGTCTAATATTTCACGATCCACGTGTATAAATTGATGCAGAACTTCAACTGCCTTATCAGTGTTGGAAATGGCAGCCCATCTTCAAGTCCGGGGCTGGAAACTTTTGGCCATGACTGGAAAAATTTCTATGGCTTCATACTGTTAATTACGTAGTAGATCTATATCAAAATGTTATAAACGAGAACTGATAAATGATGAACACCATATACAACACATGCTCTCACTGGCTGAGTTCCCAGCCCTGAACCAATGAGAGCCCGGTTTACGTTTCACCAGGGAATCAACATGAAAAATGGCCGCCCCCATAAACGTGTATCAACGTGTTCCTACTCGATACCCCACTCCTAGTCCTAGCAGGATGGAATGAATTAGTTTTCATTCTGGTGGTCAAAAAATGTATCAAAATTCTAGGAAATGGTGAGCAAATTGTAGTGGCGTAATCATAGCACCGAAATCGTAGCGATTCCACTGATTATTGAATGTTTAACTATAAAAACAAAGCCTCGCATTCCGAACAACTTTTCAATGAAATTCTGGGGCCCAACATTATTTCCACTCCCCTCGAGCGACTGGGTGAGTGTTAATTTTCATCACTGTAGTAGATATCAAAATTTTATAAATGAGGACTGGCTGGGTTTTCGAACTTATTTCCAACATTTGTCTTATTCTCTATGATGATTTAGAGCGAGTCTTTGAGTCACAAGCACACTGTGAATTCTGAGACAACCAGATGTTTAGCCAGTGGACTAAACATTCAGGGAACAGACTCATAGCCATGGCGTTATATAATTAAAATATCGTCTTCCCGAAAAACTTTTTGAGCCACTTTCAGGCACGTATTCTGTAAAATGTACATGCCCGAATGACATTCTAGTTCCCCATACGTTTTGCAAGAATATTTTTGGAATAACGAGTAAAGAACTATACACCTGCCAACTTCTAGATGCCATTCGTTTCCGGTGTTAACATTTCGTGATTATAAATTTAAAACGCGTAGTTCATGGACAGTTGTATTATTCTCTCAGGGTTCTCCAAGAGCACTTATAGCCTGGCGGCCCGCCAGGCTATCGTCGAGCCCCGCCATCCTAAAATGCACCCGCCACTCTAAATATCATAGCCGCCATGCTAAAATTGGCTAAAAAATGCTAAAACTAGGACCGTAAAGGCAGCCCGCCATTCTATAATAAAAAAGCTTGGAGAACCCTGTCTCTATGCGTTTTTAAAGCAGGAGCCCGTCAGGCAAGTGAGCTTGCAATTCTTACATGCCCGCCGAGATTTCTACACGTCTCGGGCGTCGGACGCCCGGCTAAATTCGAAGACTGGGTACAGTACTCACCTGTTGGCCAACATCTAGTGCATGCAGCTGATGGTTTCCTCTCTCTAGTGCTAGTGCTTGAAAGTTACTGTCCAATTCAGATACATGCACGTCTGACGCACGTAACTGAAATATAAAAAAACACGTATATTAACCGAGGATTACCTTAAAAAAACAAAAAATAAAACTAGCCAATAAACCACACAAACCGGCAGCACCTGATGTTCCGGTTAGTTCGCAATAAATGAAGATACTTGCTCTTATCGTTTTCCTATATTTACAGTATATTTTCCTTCTAGGGTGGGACTACGGCAAAATGGCCTTGCACCGGCATTGTTTAATTTTAAACGAACACACAGTGTTTAACATCTTTTCTGTTCTTTCCTGACGTTGCCGCACCGGTTAGCCCGACCAGGCTGTGCGACGGATTATCTATACAGCCTGACACCCTTCCATACAAAAAACCTATCACCTCTGCAGATCTAGATGAATAACTCTTTATATCTCAAATAAAACTATTCTATTACCACATTTGACTTGCCTTATTTGAAATACGAACGTTAACTCACAGTTGTCCTGCTTCTAAACTAGAATGTATCTCTTAATTCACGGTATAATCTGCTAATTCTCACAGCATATTAACTTTCCAATCAGCTTTACCCGCCATGTTTAGCGAGGCACGGAAAACCCGAAACGGAAAAGACTCGCTAGAAAATACTTCAGAAATAGTACAATAGCTGCACGATGGCTCTCACTGCAATTACACACCAAAGCAAGTGAAACGATGTTCACAAATGTCTGGGGCATTTGTAAAAACCTTAGATAACATGTTCTCGGATGTAGGGGTGGTTTACATGAGGACCGCAGATCGTTTAATTTCCTTTGTTCAATCCATTACGGATTTTAGTCACAGTCGGAATGATAGCAAACATGGCGGCGAATTCATAAATTTTGTTGCATTCGTCTCAAAATGTGGCTGTAACCCCGTTAGTACCCAGCGCATCGTAGCGCACTGATGGTTACAAGAAGGTGGACGTATACCGATTCATTTGGTATATATCACATGTGTAGTGTTCTTTGGCGATACTTGGCAAATAAGGCAACTACGTGTTTTGCTGGAGCCAAGGTTTCAAACGGTATTCTAACCCTAGCAATACTGTTTCTTGGAGCTACCGCACCGGTCAGATATAATACACAGCATGCAGCGTACCTTCAGCTACTTTTCATGGAGTTGGGCGGAAAGTGGACGAAAGAATTTCAAGTTGCACTAGGGTAACATCGACCATCGTGCATTAAAAATCAAACGTGTTTCATTGCTGAAAATGCAACTACACACTAGAAAATCCAACACTGGCATGATAGCCCTTTAAGAACCCAAGGATTTGCACACAAGCGTCATTCGCGTGTCAGGTTTTTTTTACGCGAAGGTACACGTTAAACACTCTCCTGTACTATTACTCTTACGTCGATAAAAAGTCAGGCTTCTCGACAGCAGATAAAACACGTTTAGGTACAGAATCACAATACGACGAGAGCAGAAAACTCACTTGTTCTAGCACACTGTCGTCACCAACAGCCCACTTTTTGGTGTACTGAGTCTGTAGGTCACTGTCAGATTGTGGCCTCTGAAAGAAATAGCCGACCATAGCATCGTCCTGCGAACGAAGGCTCGAGTGTCTGACGCCATGTACGTCTTGCTGCTGTCCGTTGGAAAGCATGCCGTGAGAGTCGTTCCAAGGCACTGCGTTCATGCTTACCAAACGCACAAGTTACTCATTCCTCGACTCTAAAAGTCAAACAGACATAGTAAGCAACACGTAGACACTGTCGGAGGTTCTAACTAAAAGTTACGTCAACTTGGAACTCCATAAATTGATGCGAGACGACAGTAAAAATATTCAGATAGGGCGAGCCATGGCCCAACATGGCGACTAGTGAACAACTCATTATAAGACATCGAATATAAACGATAGCTCTGCCATATACAAAATACGGATAGCGATAAATTCTTGTACAATCTACAAAACGACTTCATTAATTAATGTCTAATGCAAAAATATACACGAAAAGACGTAGGATTTACCCTGATTGGCCGGATTTTTGTCGACCTTCAACACTGTAAAATGATCATGTCGGACATCTTTTCACGAAAAGCAGTATGGGTAACATTGTCTGGCCGATGACGTCACGCCAGACTGACCCCCCTCATGCTTACCCGCACAGTCATGTACAGCCACAATGAGCCATGCAGTAATTTCACCACCATGTAGCAAGCACCCAGTAATTATTGATTATAGCTAATTGATTTCGGAAAAGCATAACGAATTGCGGACAATTTCAAATTGCTTTTCAATACGGGTTTGAACAAAAATCTAATCATTTTACTCCAAAGTTTCTAGATGCAAATTGCAAAAAAACATTACATAGTCGACATTTTTTCTTACCATTTTATTTAGTTAACGAATTTTCTATGGTAAAATTCTATGGTAAAATTCTATGGTCGAATTTTCTATGGTAAAATTTGTAAAAAAAAATTGCCATTTTTTTACATTAAAAGTAAGAACTAACGAGACTAAACGTATCGTCAAATTCTTACCTGATAAGATTGTTTCTCAACTAGTTAAAAATCCAAAAAACCTAGACGATTTAGAAAAAACCTAGAAAGACCTAGAAAAAACCCAGAAAAATCTGACGATCCCAACATTAATTGCTTGCTATGGGTTATGTATGATTCACGAATGTATGTTTACATCGAACAATATTATAGTAAAACAGGAAGTATAATGCAGCAATTTAACCATAAAAAGTGAACAGAATTACTTTTATTTTGTGAAAAAGTGGAAATATATATTTTATTTTTACTATATTTACAGTGACGTAATCACTTTAAAGAATGGCCACATGTTAGCAGCAAATGTCTTTTACCTACTTATCATATGCTATATCAAGAGTAGATAATAACATGTTATTATCTACTCTTGGCTATATGTAATCGTAGCTACCGTAACTTGTCCATAAGAATCCTTAATTCTTTTATAAATTTATAATTATTATAATATCGAAATTCGTATATTAATTCAATCATCAAAGGTGCACTCCCAAACAGATGTAGGGCCTACTGATCATCTGCGTTGGATAT